AATGAAAACCCTAATAAAGGAGTTTGAAATTTCAGAGATAAAGAGAATTATGCAAATAGTAAACTGCACATGTAAAAACAGGCAACTGGCCACAGGGCAAGCAAATAGATGGAGAAAAGAGAAAACAGAATTTTGGTATATAATTTAGCTTTCTGTAAATAATATTTACCTGTCATAGGGAGGCAAACAGTGATTACAGATTTTAACTAAAGGTAGTTTAATTTCATTTGGACTATGAAGGGTAGGAATGTGTACATGGGTGTGTTTGTGGATGAAAGGGTAGATATAAAATTAATTCTTCATCTAAGAAGAAATCAACAGTGTTAAACACTGGTTAAATACAGAAGTAGCAGTTTAAGACATTTGATAGTAACTATCAGAATAAGTTGCTAAAATTGCTAAAGTAGCCTCTGAAGAACAGAACTGAGGGGGAGGAAGGTGGGAAAGGGTGGGGCAGGATAACACTCAGAAGCCTTTCATTTAATTAAAATTTTCAGTTATTACTATAATACTGTATTATACAGATAAAAACAACTTTAAATATGCATATAAGAACACTTTTCACTTTTAAATAAGTTCCCTTTTGAAGAATATAACTTTACCTGCTCCACACAGATTTGAAGGGTGGTGGATTTGCATCAGCATTACACTTGAGATTAACACCTTTTCTTCCTACAAACCAATTTCCATCATACCCTGTTACTGAAACTTCAGGAGCATCTATAAAATAAATAAATGCATGACATTTATTTTTGTTAATGATAAATGTGACATACAATGATAAAGCATGAACACAACAGACTAAGTTTCAGAACAGGAATCATTTTTCCTTGCTCTCAATATATATAATCAATGTGGAAGACAGTACTCAATAAATATTAGTTGACTGACAGAAAGAATGAATGAATGGGCAAGTATCCCAACATCAGGTAATTACAGCATGTACGGCTGAAGTTATTAGGGATGCTGGATGTAAGAATATTCATAAACCTATAATCACCAAGAACAAACTGTGAGTCCTACGATGAGAGATGTTGAGGTATAGGAACAAAGCAAATACATTATAATACTTAATTTAATGAGACATGGCATTTAAGTACCATGCAGGACCAAGTCACCATATAAAATGGTCTTTAAAGAGACATTTATCTAAAAGAAAATATTTCCTAAGAGATATCAAGTCAATTACAGAGATTAGATTCCCTATATTACAATTAATTAATATTCTATGGGCATGTAGAGATGTGACACAGACTTTCTAAGACTACAGACTTACAACTAAAGTAAATTATCTAGGGCCTCAACTGTAATAAAACATAAACTTTTATCCACTCAATGTACCCAAAGGTCTTTTGTGCAACATTACTAGTTGAATGAACAAATTATCGATATCTAGTAGCAATATACATATATAAGATATAAAATCCAATACCTATTATTAAGCCATCATTTGTTTAGCTCCTGATAAATGCCAGGTACTGTTTTAAGTGTTTGGTATACATACAGACTCTGTACTCATAAAATTTATATTCTAATGTTAATAGTAATAGGGAAGACAACACTTAAAAATATTTAACTAAAACCTCTTATCAGGGAAAAGAAGAAAAAGAATAGGATGGCAAAAGAGAATATAAGAAGAAAGGTTTAATTTAGATTGGGGATAGGGGAGGTCATGAAAGGCTTCCCTAAGGAAGTGCTAGTTATGCATAGTGTAGAGACTCCATCTTTCTGTGTGTGCTATGCATAAAATCAGGTAAGTAGCACATGCCCAGATGAGAGAGGTTAGAGAGAGAC